TCGCCAAGCCAACGACTTCCATCAGCCGCGAGTTTAAGTGAGCACCCCCTGTGTACCTTCGGGTGCTGCAGCTCCAGGTCGGCCCACGGTCGCATCCAAGTGGAACTCCGCAACACGGGTCTGGCTCAAGACCGCGGACGCTGCTGGTCGATCAAGTAGCTTGACGATGGACCACATAGAAAAGAAAACCCATAGTGGTAATCCCGGTAATACACCGCCTGACAAGAATACATTTCGTCGCCGATTCTCAACGAGCAACTTGAAAGAGATCACGATGGTGTCCCGTTCATATCACGCGTGTTCTTTCGTCTCCGTTTCCCCACGCGTTGGCCGATGTGATTTAATTGGCCGCGCCGACGTGCCTTCATTAGCTCTGCCTCGGTGCAGGCGGTGCTCTTATGAGCGATCTACATGCGGGAACGGATAATACCTCCGGATGATATGTTAGCCGGTTGCGCCTGTACATAAACCAGCGCGAACGACTAAAGCGCCGCTTGGAGCTCTTGCTTCGACAGCACATTAACGTGCTGCAGTCGGCGCTTCATGGATGTGGCGTCCACACCACCGGTACGCTTTGGGATGTTACATATCGATCGATCGGTATGTGCGCTGGAGCGCACCCATTCGTACCCATTATGACGTGGCGAGCTAACGTGGCAGCGAATGGATCGCCACGTCTTCGTCGTCCTGCGCGAATGTACTAGGCGCCGATAACCCCAAGACATATATTTGGCCCCAGACCCAGTGGCGCACTGTGCACGCTCGGCTTGCGGGGAAAGGTGATCGCAGTGATAGCTCCTCGACGTAATGCTTTTCGTTCTTGAAGATGCAAGCCGCCGCAATCCGATTCGCTCGTTGACGCCTATCATACTTGCTGTTCCGTTCGCAGGATGCACGCCGCCTGTCTGTTTGATAAATATTGTCAAAATGCGTGTTAAATATTGTCAAAACGAGCCTACCCAGCTCGCACACGTCATTGGGCAACGCAACACGGCCGTGATACTCTAGTAGATAACCCATCGAGCCGCTCGTCCCCTATATTGAATAATCGACGGCATTGCCGGCGCTAGCGTTGCATCGGTTGTGTTGAAAACATTTTATACGGCAACCACGCTCATGCCCACCGACTGGCGCTGGCCACACGTTGAATTTGCACGTGTTAAATATTGTCATAACACTGGCGCGAAACACGTTACATATTGTTGCAATCGATCAGAACTGATAGGCCCAGATCCTCGGTATTCGAACGCGTTGCCGCGGACCGCGCCGATACTATCTGCTCCAAGCAAAGCAATGATCGGCACGGACAGGCGAGTATGTCGTTGAACCGAGGGTGTCTCGTCCGCTGCGTCCAGCGATCACTGCACAGGTGCTCCATTTGAACCGACGACGCAGGCATCCACGGATCGCACAAAAAAAATTCGACCATGCAACGCACGCTCAGTAAGCTCGCGACGCGCCACTACTCGACGCAGTGGCGGTCCTTTAGCGCGCTCCACCCGTCGCTCAAGCAGAACGACTTGACGTCCATTACGCTCCACGTGACCAACCACCCAGGGTCCTTGCGCCCGGTCCTCGACATGTTTGCAAAGCACCGCGTGAACCTCACGCACATTACGTCGCAGCCCACCAAGTCGATCGAGCCCAACAACGACTATGCGATCTCGATCGACTTTCAGGGCAAGCCCGGCACGGTCGGCATTGACAACCTCCTGCGCGAGCTCGAGGCGCACTGCGCGTCGGTGACCCTCGCGACCGACAAGACGGGTACACATTTTGGTTTCAATTCGACACGTTGTCTTATGGTGCGTGTCTAGTGCCGTGGTTTCCGCTGCACATTAGTGACCTCGACATTGCGGCCCGCCATACACTCCAGGCCGGCACCGACATTGACGCCGACCACCCTGGGTTTAGCGACCAAGTGTACCGTGCCCGTCGCAACGAGCTCAGCGAGATCGCGGCCAACTACCGCCAGGGGCAGCCACTGCCGCACATTCACTACTCGGAGCTCGAGGTACCCCAATTGATAGATGGATACATGCGCATGTCACATGCTGTAGACGCAAACGTGGGGTGCAGTCTACAACCGCATCAAGGACACGTGGGCGCAGTTTGCGTGCGACGAGTTCAACAACGCGCTCCCGATGCTCGAGCGCGAGTGCGGCTACAGCCCGACCAACATTCCGCAGGCCCAAGACATTTCCAACTTTTTGAAAGCGCGCACCGGTGCGTTTCGTTTCTATCAAGTTGATAGTTATGATGCGTGTGGTTAGGGTTCGTGATCCATCCGGTCACGGGGTACCTCTCGCCGCGCGACTTTTTGAATGGCCTTGCGTTCCGCGTCTTCTTTTGCACGCAGTACATTCGACACCACTCACAGCCGCTGTATACGCCGGAGCCGGACATCTGCCACGAGCTCATGGGCCACGTGCCCATGTTTGCGGACCAGGATTTCGCCGACTTTTCCCACGAGATTGGCCTCGCCTCGCTCGGCGTCTCGGACGACGAGATCGAGCGCCTCGCGGCGTGCTACATTTTTTCGGTCGAGTTTGGCATCTACCTCCAGAACGGCCAGAAAAAGGTAGCCAAACTTGATAGACTGATCGATCTCATTTTGTGCAAAAATTAGGCGTTTGGTGCAGGCATGCTTTCGAGCTTTGGCGAACTCGAATACGCGTGCTCGCCGGTGCGACCGGCAGGTGGCACCATGGAGATGCCTGAGTACCGGCCGTGGGATCCGTTCCACGCGTGCAAGCAAAAGTACCCCGTAACGACGTACCAGCCCGTGTACTATGTGGCCGAGAGCTTGGTCTGTGTCGGCATCGTGGATTGTTTCGGACTCATGCGACGACATGTAGAGCCAAGCCAAGGCAAGATGCGCGAGTTCACGCGCGAGATGAAGAAGCCGTTCCATGCGACGTACAACCCCGCGACGCAGACGATTGCGGTGGACCGCGCGATCACCATTAAGGAGCGTGGCGCCAAGTAGGGCCTCTTTTGCGCGACGAGTGGAGATCGAACGGGCGTCGTACGAAACTATATACTGTATGTGAGCTATGGGAAATAAACTCTTATTTTGCCGTGTCCGTCATTGGTCGGCTGGCGAGCCACGTTACAGTGCCTATAAGAGATGCACCAAGCGATCGTTTGCATTTTGAGTCGTAGCGGTCCCGAGGATGGCAGAATTCGATGACCAAGCGATAACGACCGACCAAGGCTCGTCGGTGCAGTGCCGCGTTCTATGCTTAGGATCTATATGGCGTCACGTGGGTATCTCTCATCATCAACGATCGCAGCAATACTGCACCACGGACGCGACTCGCTCACAATCTCGAGACTGTTCAATGCGTGAGCCCAGACCAACGCGCGACGGCATTGCAATAGAATTGCAGTGTACAAGCCATCGATGGCCGGAGGACCAACGCCGCTAGGATGCGACATGACGTGGCAGCACCAGAGTGCTTTCTCCTTGGCACCACGGAGTTGCATTGGGCTTCGTACGTAGAACGGCGCGCTGCGATACGCGCCGCGACGTCAACTAGACCGACGTAGTTCAAACCCAACGGAATAAAACTCACTTCCTTGTTCAAAGCAGTGGTGGCACCTCGCCAACGATGCCGATTCCATTACCCCACACAGTTAATACCACACATCTACGGTACTAGTAAGCACGACGGCGCATACATGAACCGTGTGTGATGACGACGCCGGCTACAACAGCCACAACTTGAATGCTGCAAAAGACCAGAGCCATCATTCGGGACATTCATCTCCCTGTGAGGCCGTAACCATTCAACCCCGCACGCTGCTGCGCAACTCTGTCACGCGTAAACGCCGCAGGCCATAGATGCCTCATTGTCAGCGCAAACGTATTGCGCTAGAGCTTGTACATGAACGAATCTCCTTTAGAGGGATGAGTACGTCGTGACACTTTGTTTTTCAAACTCTAGCTCATGGTTTTGTAGAGCCTTCTCGTGTATGGTGTACCCAACCACTGGGACCCAACACTACGTGCCTCGCACTGCTGACGTGGCTATGGCGCATGGGACCCACTTGGGCTCGACTAGGATTGCATTTTGGGTGCCACAATACCAACCACGGAGGGCATAACAGCAACTATGATCAACGTCTTGACTGGTCGGTCAAACCATCGATTTCCAACTATCTTCTTTGAGAGTACAAAGGTACGAGTTTACTGTGCCACCGCATTTCAGTACACCAGGGATCGTGTCGCCCTTTGCCATCTCATCTTAAGAAGATTACCGTGCCATAGAAAACGAAAGCTATCCGGTGCACCATATGCTGCGACAACCCTTGGACTCTACAGGTTGCCTGGATTACGCAAGGCAAATTCTATTGCACCACCAAAAAAACTGACCGAAAACGTTTCGTGAGCTCTCGCACGACGCCCGTGCTCGGTAGCACCACGACATCGCTGAGAAGAGCTAGGGCAAACTGTCATGTAGTCCGTCCATGACCGTTTAGTGATGACTCGACGCAATGGACGACAACGTCGTACCGCATGGAATGCCATGGAAAGGGTAGCCGCCGCGAGTGAGCGCGGACCATGATTAGAACCAACGGCACGAGGCCACGGGCGGTGGCTTGAGGTTTGCGGCTGGACGAGCCGTCTTGCCGCTGTTTTCATTGGTTCGTTCTCCAAATACGCTGCCAGATGGCGTCGAGGGTGGATGGATGTAATGTGGTACGGCCAGGCGCGTTCAGATTGCCGGGGAGCTCCTCAGGAAGCACGCGATTCAAGAAACCCCGCGTCTCTCCATAGACGTGGAGCGACAGGACGAGCGATGCTAACTACTAATATTCCTCTAACGGTACCGATGCGAGGATTGTTTTCACAGTCAGCAGAAGCCAAAAATCAGAGCGAGCGGACGGTGCTTGTGACGACGCACCGTCCATTTGCTGCTATGGTTCGCATTGACTCATCTGCGATATGCACCACCAGTTTCGCCTCAACAGAGTCTGATTTTCGATTCTCAGACCTCAGGTGGGTAAGGTCAATAACCCCCCACCTGCATTCTTGTCCCCAAAACGTCGCGGCTACAGTATACTGGGGACAAGTCAATTTCTTCTGTAAGCAACACTTGCAGCGTCAACCGATTCCTTCGTCACTTTTGCTTTTGCGCCATGGCCGACAACGCTTCGCCCAAGAGCCCCGCGGTCGCTGGCTACGCGTCCGTGTGGGACGCCCGCCCGCGCCAATTCAAGAGCGTCCTCTTCCAAGTGTGCGGCTTCATCCTCCTCATGGAAGTCTCGGAGCGCCTCTCGTACTATGGCATCAACCAAGGCTTGAAAAACTACATGAAGTCCCACTTGCACTGGACGGGCGTCTCGTCCAACTCGATCAAGAGTACGTGGACGTCGCTCTGCTATCTCTCGCCGCTCCTTGGTGCGTACCTCGCCGACGAGCGCTGGGGCCGCTTCAGACGATTGCGATCTTTGGCACATGGTACCTTCTTGGCGACATCCTCATGGCCGTCGCCGCGCACCCGCACGTGCTCGGCTGGAAGGAGACCAACGTCTCCGGCGTGTTTGACAAGGAAGGCGCCAACATTGACGCGGCCCAAGGCCTCTTCGTGTTTGCCCTCTTTGCGTGCATTGGCATTGGCACTGGCGCGATCAAGTCGAACGTCATTACGCTCGGCGCC